GTGGGGTGGCCGATGTCCGATATTCAGTTTTAAGGCCGATACCGATAGGGGGCCGATTATATCGTGCATCCCTAGAAAATACGGTATTATAAGGAACACCAGTTTCACTCATATGACTCTTTTTAATTGTACATAATCTTCTAGTTTTATATTTCCCTGTAACTGTGTTGATTCTGATCACAATTTTGGAACCTGGGAATTCTTATGAGATGACAAAGGCGTAACTCACTGATCAACACAGAATAAAGGCTGATTTATATTTCGAAACTAGGGTCGTCTGCGTAGGTGTCGCAGTGAACGAAGAGACGTCCCCGCCCCTTTAGCAGACACTGCTGCACCTCTCCCAAATAGCAGGTGACCTCAGACAGGAGGCCTCTGATTGGTCAAATCTACATCCGCTCTACTCATGTGCATTTCCTGTTTGGTACCTTACAGGCTTGTTTTGTTTGTATGACCGCCATTGCAGAAAATTACCCTTGAAGTTGGACCAGCTAGAAAAGCGCTGTGTGCAAAAACGCTGGGACCCTTTTTCCACCTGGATCCCCGCTCTTTTTCACCCTCATGTTCCTGCGTTGTCGCACAAACTTGCCCCCATTTCCTCACCATCTCGGCCGTATATAGACCCACAGATAGTTCGTGATTGTCACTCTTGCGCTTCAATATTGGGCATAAATCAAAAATATCTGCGACAAGCTCACTGCAACACACTGCTGCAGGGAGTATAACCAGCACTTTAGGATAAGCTCCCCCTGCTGGTTAATACTGAACCCGCATCTCATTACAGTATAACTACCGTCAATTGCGGACTATAAAGCGCACCTGATTACAAGTCGCACGCTCTAATTTGAGAAAGAAAATAAATTTTGTACTTTTATAAGCCACACCGGATTTTAAGCCGCAGGTTTCCCACGTTGTATGAGACATTTACAAATAAAGATATTACACGTGAGCATTTTCTTAATGTTTGATTTAATCCGTATGATAAAACAAACAAATACGGCACATATTATGAATGCCTTTTTTTCAAACTACCTGTAATACATTTAAATATACGTATGTGTCGGTAACATGCAAATAATGCTGCATATACCGGTACTTTCATTTGAACAATGCACAGAACATTGCAGCCGACCAGGAAAAGTCATTAATCACTTTCTTCTTCCTCCTGCGCACTAAAACCCTCAAAGTCCTCTTCCTCGGTGTCTGAATGGAACAGCTTCAGGATGCTGTCACTGACTTCAGTCTCATCCTTGTCGCTCTCACTTGAGCACTCGCGGTCCTCTTCATCCCGCAGCAGCCCAGCCTTCCGAAACCCGCCGGTGAAGCTGGATGTTTTCACACGGCTCCACGCTTTGAGAACCCACTGGCAGACATCAGTGAAAGATGCCCTTCGCATGCGGCCAGTTTTGGTGAAGGATTTCTCGCCACTGGTCATCCACGTCTCCCACTCACTGCGCAGTGCCACTTTAAATGCTCTGTGAATACTCATCAATTTTATCGGTCTGTTTTTCACGCCATGAAAAAAAACATGTATTAGCCTCACTTTATTATAGGCAGCAGTGTTCAAACAGCAGGAAAAAAGTAGCTGCTTATAGTCCGGAATTTACGGTAATCAGGTTAAAGAAAACAGCGTCAAGTTTAAGAATCTGTCAACTGAAATCTGTGACCTTGATGATGTAATCATTGATTTTTTTTAAAAAGGCTTTGCTGCCAGATTGTCTCAAGAACCTCTTTTATTATTCCTCTGTTTGACGTGCAGAATGAGAAGTTAAGAGGCTTCGCTCGAGGCCTGGAGCCAGAGAGGATCATCGGAGCCACAGATTCTACAGGAGAGCTCATGTTCCTCATGAAATGGTCTGTCAAACCAAACTGAGCCTCTCATACACTTTATCTGTTTTGCCTTTTTTTGTCACTTATGAAAAAGGTGTTTGAGTTGCAGATTAGTCCCTGATCATCACACTAACACCCCTGTGTTTGATTGTTGGTCTGATCTGTTATTGATATGAGATATCGAAGGATAACAAAAAGCAAAATCATAAGAAATGTTATAAAATTAGGAGATTTAAAAAAAAAAATCACTGTTAAATATGGTAGTTTATTTTTAGTCTCATAACTTAGTTAAGTTTGTCTTTTTTTTTTACAGGAAGCATTCGGATGAGGCCGACCTGGTGCCAGCAAAAGAAGCCAATGTGAAGTGTCCACAGGTGGTGATCTCCTTCTATGAAGAGAGACTCACCTGGCACTCGTATCCTCCAGAGGAGGAGAAAAAAGATGAGAAAAACTGAGGCATGGCGACGTTCTCGACTCGGCTGGGGAAGACGAACGAAAAGACCAGCAAGACATTTCGTGGACTCATTCGTCGTTTTGGTGTTCAACTCAATCAATGCAGTCATTTATGTGTCCTTTCTGGTCTGTGTATCAACATTCCTTTCACCTTCGTTTAAATATGGCATTCAAAACCGACAGCTGTTCAATGTGGGAGATTTTTTTTTTTTCCGGGAAAACTGGGTTTGCAAAATTAAGTGATTATCGGTTCATTTTATCAGTGTACAGAAACTGAATTATTCTCAAATCATTTTCTAATACAAATTAACGATGAGCTACTGAGCATTTAAAAAGTTAAAATTTTAAGATATGCTTGTAATCTGTTCTAATAGTTTTTTTTTTTCTCCTGATATTTTAGATTGGGCATAAAAAGAGCCCAAAGCAGGCATGTTTTTTTTTTACTTTGGATCGTTTATGAGGTGGACATGTTTGTTGCTGTTCTGCTTGTTTACAGTACGAGTTGTTTATTTTTTTTTATACCAGTTCGGGTTTTATTTACATATGTGCAGAAATCCCTGTTGTTTTTGTTGGGCTTTTCCTTCTCCCCCGTTTCACTGTGACAACCATATTTTATTTCAGTCCCCTCCCAGTTAAAATCTCATCTAAACCTCCTATTCTTTAGTCATTAAATTGTACCACGGGTAAGATTTTGTTCACTAATGTAGAATGTCACTGTTTTGCAGTGTTTGCATTCAAAAACATTGATAAAATCAGAGAAACTTGTATTGTTTTGGTATTTTACAAAAAGCTGCAAATTGAGATCATCCCAGTCCTCCACCTATAACTGGTTTTATTTTGAAATCAACAAACAGGATACAAAGTGAAGGCCTTGATTATTAAAAATATGGATATAACAAATTGTGTTAATGTTGTTGAATGCAGCCACTTAAAGCAAGTGAAGATGGAAGTCTGTCAGTGACGTTTATTAGGTTTGTTTTACATTTTTATGGTAAGTTGTACATTTCAATCATGGTGACTCGGTGCTTACAGGCTATAAACGGAAGCTTTTCAATTCCAGACAGCAGTGACTTTATTTGACTTTTAAAATATAAAAACTGAAACAGTCTCAGATTGAAGGCTGTATCAGTCGGATTTCGTTGATTCAGTCTTTTGTTGCGTTTTAGGTTTGTTGGAAACAACTGAACCCGAGTATAACCACTAGCTGTAGTCCATCTCCTAGTTTTATTGTATTAATAAACCCACCAGTGCCCAGAATATTGGAAAACGGTTCCAGTAAAATGTTGTTATATGGAAATGACGGTTTTGTAATTAAAACACCTTTAGCAGCTTTGTTCATTCTAATCATTCTGTGAATAATTTGTGCATTGTTATTCTAGTGTTTTTCTTTTTTTACTTGTCACTTTTGGAAAATAAAACCATTTTCTTTGTTAAAACACTCTCTCCAAACAACATATATATATATATATATATATATATATATATATAAATTTTAAATACATATATACTTTTATATACAGTGCGTCTGATAAGTTTTTACAGCACTACAGTGTTTTTCTCATTCGGGTATGCTGCAGCCTCATCCCAAATGGTAATCGTATACATTGTTTAGTGCTAGTGTAATGAAATAAAATCAAATTTGTGTATTTACAGGCTTCGCTTTATCAGTTGTTGAGCCATCTGAAGTCTTTTTAAATATAAAACCTCAGGTTTAGCACATTTATCATGGTCCATTCTTATTAGCAGAACATCTCAAGATGTCGGGAGATGAAGCCTTCAGACTTAAGTTGCTCTAAGGATATAAAGGGGTGAAAATATGATTTTTTTTTAACTTAATAAAATAACTAGATTGTGTTTGTGTGATGACATTAAGGATTTGTTTTTAATATGGTCTCAGTATTATGTTGATTTATGATCCAAGAGAAAATGGAAATAAATTGAGGGCGATTGTGATTTGAATGTGCTTCTGTTGGAGGGGACGGCTTACTTTTTATTTTGGGTTTCTCTTTTTGAAGAACGGAATCCCATCACTAAAGAATTTGATGAATCAGTACTTAATGTTTTCATCAGTAAAAAGCTGATTAATGGTACTAAGAAGTTTGAGCTGTTGCTCATTTTATGGACAATGAAGGGAGTTTTTTTAAACACTTGAAATTCAGTGAAAAGTTGCAGAAAACATAACCAAAATGACACACTAACCCATCATGTTTTCATGCCATGATTAAACAAAACATTATATTCTAATATCACTCTTGTATTGGTGGAGTTACCTTCTGACACGCAACGATACATTTCTGAGAAGCCATTCATTCCAATACCATCCTCTTAATTTAGTTAAGAGGAAATATATTCTTAAAGTCCTTAAAGAAGAGAACATATTATGTAATGCATTTCTTCTCCAGTCCGACTTTAAGCAAAAGGCCATTCAATTTAAAGTTATTAATTTAATACAATTAAGAAAATCTCTGAAAATCTGTTTTTTTACATTGAACTGATGGGAATCTGTGCGGAGATTTGGAGATGAATAAAATTCAGTTTACAGCTTTAACAACTTGATGCCAAAAAGTGCAGCTCTGAAAACTTCATGAAAGTCTTAATGTAATTAGTAAAAGGTATATACATATCTTTAATTGTAAATGAAACGTGGTTACAATATGGTAAAAGCATACATTTCTGCTTAATTCTGAAATAAAATGTATAATAATTTACCATTTAAATTTGATAAACCAGATTTTTTTTCTTTAAATATAATTTAACTGATTACCAGTGACACTACGTAATAAATTGCATCTTTCTAAATCATTTGTTTTACCTGCAAGTGAAACTCACTGCAGACCAATTATGAAAAGTAATAGTAGCCCCGCCCACTGGCTTTACTATAATGATATGATGTAATTACCACGGCATTTAATGCTGAAATTATTCTATGTTTCTGTTGTGTCTTTGATAAACTGTCTTTTCAGAATAAAGTTGATCTAAAACGCCATGATCCGCTCAAGCATGGAGTCACAGGTGAAAATAAAAACACTTTATTAATCAATAAAAACAATTCTTGATTGCCAGCAAACATTCAAAAACGGGGAACTACGATGCAAACTCAAAGCAGAGAATGCGGTTTTTATGGAGACGTTGAACAAACTACAGAAAACAAAACAGGAAAATATTTACAGAACAAGACAGACAAAAAAAAGTGCACTAAAGTAGTAGCAGTACTTAATAGTTGGTGTTGCACTGGGTTACATAAAAGTGAATGTTAACCAGAGATTCATGCCTTAATATTACATTTAATAAAGACATCTCTCCTGTTCAACCATTGTTTTTTTTTTATTATTCGGACATCATCCCAATGTTGCAAGTTCTTTTCAGCCTCTTGTAAATATTTGCACCTAATTGCTATCTTAGCTGTAGCAACAAACCCCCCCGTTTTTTATTTTTTTATTTTCACAACACGCTCACTGACACACTTCATTCAAACAGACGGGTAATAGCACTTCTACTTCGAGAACCTTCCTGCTGTTCTCCAAAACCCTTTCGAAGGGAGATAAGGAGATTTTTAAAAGAGGGCATTCAAATCTAAGTGGCCTCATGCCTCCCACCGTCGCTCACATCCGCTTCACTTCTACCTCGCATAACGTGGCTTATTTTGAAAAAACAAACAAAAAACAATCAAATGGAGAAAGTGGAGAGTCAAAGACAACTAATTGGCTTCACAGCAGTTTAAAGATCTGCTTCTAGTGCATCGTGGCTGTGTACAATCTGTAAATAAGTTCATTCAAATGGATACGATGTACGGAGCCCAATTTGTTTTAATGCTTAAAATGGAGTCTCTAACTAGCAATGAACATCCCATAAAGAACAGTATCATCAAAAGACTTACTTGAGGAATTCATATCAAAGCGTTAAACTTATTCATAGGTTCATTTCAAACCCTTTAAAAAGTCCACCATCCTCCGCTTCCTGTAACCTGTGCAAATAGTTCATTGTAGTTTTTCCTGCCACTAAATTTTCCGCTCATGTGGACACAGCACTTTTAAAAAATGATTGTGTAGATCATAACAGAACATTTATGCATTAAACACCTTTGTAGTTTCTAAGAGGAAACTGTACGTAATGAAACCAAATAAATGGTTGAAATTTGATGTCCTTCTTGATATTTTAATTTGAGATGAACCTATAAATGTGAACCGCTAGACTCCCTGCTTACTGCAGCAAGTTGAAATCCTCATTTGAAAACATACGAGGCGGCGTTGAAGAGCTATAACTTTGCTCATCCACTTTAGAACCAGTAAATTAAACCTTTCTGAAATGAAGCCCGCCCATCTTCAAACCTGCAGCAAGAGATCAGCGACAGAAAAGGCTAAATGCATACAGGCAAACCTGGTAAAAGGAAAACTTACAGTGCTATGTATAATTGATAAGGAACTCGATACATTTTGCAACGCAGTGCGCCTCATCCCAGAAATATCTCTCGGCTCCTTCCTGCAGGACTTTGCGGCCAGCCCTCTTAACACTCGGCCTCCGACTTCTTATCCAATCAGCAGCCTTCCACACATCCAACCTGCCGTTTTATGGCCTCCTATGCTTAAATGCCACCAAGAAACAGACTGAAAGACTACAAACCTACAGGGTAAGAGTGCAGCGTTTGAGCGTTTTGGACTTGAACGATCAGGAGCGCCCTATAACCTTTGGTTAGTATAGGTGTTAATGGGATTCTTTAACAATGTACTTCCTTTAACCTTTGGTTTCTTGTCTCTCACAACTTTAGGTTCTGATGTTTGCCTTAAGATCTACAACTTAAAAGAGGTTCCTAAAGGTCTCCAGGGTGGGATGTGATCTGATAGTCAGTAGAACCCACCGATGACGACATCAGTCCATTCTTTTACCTTATAAACCTCCATCCTTAGTGGTTTGGTGCAAAAGGAACGAGAGCAGCTATTTCTTTTTCTAGTAGCTCAGTTTTTGGCCGTTAAATCCCTCCTTGTCTCGTCTAAATAATGAAACACCAGTACTCGAGCCAAGAGCTTTTCTGCTTCAGAGTTGTTTCTAGAAAAAACGTAGGAAGAGAATGAAAAGGGAGAAACGAACCCAGGAGGAGTAAATGCCATTTCTCTTCAACAGAATCTTCTTAAAGGAAAAAAGGGCATCTCTCTTGCATCTGCACAAATCTGACTGATTTAGCAAAGTGGTAGAATTACCGGCGGCGTTTGCGAGCTCACTTTTTTTTGTCCTTCTGTTTTTTCTCAGGTTTCCGGCCCTGCTGCGCGGCCGTTCCGCCGCGGGGCGTGATCAGCACGCTGCCGTCGGTGCCGTACTGCAGGCAGTACTCGCTGGGTGGGTAGGGCCGGCCCTCCTCGTCCCGCAGCTGACTGAAAACCTCTTGGCACAAGCTTTGCATCTTCTGCTTCAGCTGCCGGATGGAACGGATGAACTCCATCTTCTCTTTCAGCAGGCGGGCCTTGTCGCGCCTCAGGTTTTGGACGCCCTGCTCCAGGTTAATGATGGTCTCCAGCTTGCGCTTGCGGCAGTTCTGGGCGGCCATTTTGTTTTTGCCGCGCCTGCGGATGTCGCGGATGAGGGCGAGCTGGGCTTCGCTCAGGTGGTGCTTGGCCAGGAGCTCGTTGAACTCTTCCACCGGGAGGTTGATGATCTTGTCATTGGAGAAGGGGATCTTCATGGCCCGAGCTCGGCGCTCGTCGCGGCTCGCGTGCTTATCCAGCAGGTCCTGAGAAGGCTGGAGCTTTTTGTCACGACTGCTCTTCTTTCCAGCTGAAAGCGGCAGATCTGGGTGCTCGGAGAAGGCGGAGGAGAGCGGCACATTGTAGGTGTGATTGTGGTTGATGCTGTTGAGCTGCGGGAGGCCGTGGAACTGGGAAAGGTCCTGGAAGCTCATGCGGCAGAGCTTGCTGTACTCGGGCTGATAACCCCCCACCGCTCCCTCCTCCGTCTCTGCAGCAGCCACCTCAGAGTCAGTGCTGTACCCCACCGCTCCCTCCTCTGAGAAGTTGGCAGAGGTGGAGGAGGAAGAGGCTGCAGACGAGCAGGACGTCTCGGAGCTGCTCGGGGAGGCCGGGCTGTGGCTGGAGTCCAGGGAGAGTCCGGAATCCGAGTCGAGCTCGTCCTCCAGCTGGGAGGCCTGGGCCTGGCTGAAGCCCTCCTCCATGGCCAGGTCCAGCAGGCTGATTTCATCCAGCATGGACTCCTCCAACAGGGTGGTGAAGGGATCAGGCAGGTTTGGCGTAGCCGTGATGTTGTTACTGGAACTGTTGACGGGTGACAGAAAGACCCCGGTCAGGTTAGTTGCTCCGAATGTGGAGTTGATGTTGGTGGAGTTGCTGGAGGACAGTCTGAGCAAACTGGTCCTAGGGGCGACGCTGACAGATTCCAGCTGGGGGCCGAAAATCTGCGGGAAGTCTTGGCTGCAGCTGGGCAGCGAGGCCTGATGAAGGCTGACATCCTGGTTTATGGGCGTGGGACGGTCAGAGAGGCCAAAGTTTCCAGCAGGGTTCGGTTCTGCCGTCCTGTTTCTGGCACTTCCAGTGTTAGAGACTATTTGGACTGAAGTGTTGTTCACCTCCATCGCCTTAGAACAGAAATAACAGAACATTTAACTCAAAGGTGGCGAATTCAGGGACTTTTAAAAGTATTCATAATCATTAAACTTAAACAACTTCCATGACATCACGACTATAAACCTGCATTTAGTTTAGATTTTATGGTAGTGAAGGCAAAAAGGGCAGTGATGTGACAATAACATGGAGCCAACACTAATAATGATTTAAAAATCAGATGCAGTACTTCTATTTATACCTGCAGATGGCGCCAAACAGATGGCTTTGGGCTCAAAAGCAGGATTTTAACAAAATCTGAATTAAATTGTTAAAATACCGACATGGAGACAGCAATTATACATGCACAGCCACTTTATTAGGTACAACTTTCTAACAGCTCATTAATGCACCTTTTTAATCAGCCAATCACATGGAAGCATATTGATGCATCTAAGCATGAAGACAAGATGATCTACTGAAGTTCACAATGAGGAAGAAAAGTGATTTTTTTTCAACGTAGCATGGCTGTTGGTGCCAGACGGACTGCTCCGAGTATCTCGGAAACAGCTGATCTACTGGGAGAGAATGGTGCAAAAAAAGAGAAAATATTCATTGAGTGGCTGTTTTCTGCCTTGAGGCTGGAGGAGAATAACCGGACTGGTTTGGGCTGAAAGAAGGAAGCAGCAACTCACATAAGCACTCGTTACAACCGAGGTATGTGCATCTCTGAACACACGACATGTCGAACCTTGAGGCAGATGGGCTACAGCAGCAGAAGACCACACCGGGTGCCACTCCTTTCAGCTAAGAACAGGAAACTGAGGCTCCAATTCACACAGACTCACCAAACATTTAAAACAGAAGATTGGGAAAAAAAATTGCCTGCTCTGATGAGTGTCGATTTCTGATTCAACATTTGGATGGTCAGAATTTTACGGCGACAGGATTCTACCCAAAAGGCTCACGTGCAATAAATACTCTTATAAGCAGCTTTACTAATACAGAGGCTCATAAACTATTCCTCACACTTATGTTTAATGTGTTAGAGGAGAAAATAGAGTCCCAGCAGGCCCAATAAATCACACACAAATGCTTTTTCATCCTATCCTCTTGTGGTTTTATTTCCAGGCGTGTGCAGCCTCCCTCCTCCTCGCATGTCGACTCATTTCTGCTCACTTTTTTCAACTTTTGTCACTTTGAAGACCCACCAGATAAAGCAACCCGCATGTGATTGGCTACGCTTAGGAAATCCAGCATCTTGAGCTAGACGTGTTGCCAAGGTAACCAGTGTAAAGTCTCTTCCCGTTTCCAGCTAACCTTTGAGCTAGCAGAAACTATCTGGCTATACCGAAACCTTCTTTTAGATGTCCTATAAACCTTCTTAACAGACACCCTACAGCCAATCAGAATCCAATATTCATCCAGATCATGTATCTAATGATGACTTTGAATACCAACTTCCAACTCTTGAAGAGAGTAGAGTACAGCCTTAAGAGGCGGGATTACCTGAAAGGTAGCCAATCACAGACAAATTGCTTTGTCTAGTGGGTTATGCCTTCAAAGTGACAGAATTTGACATGAACGCATAGAAACAGGTCAATATGCGAGGAAGAGAGACTCTATAGACATATCAATAGCAAACCATGAGTGCAGACAAGGAGCATCTACTCATGGTTTGATATATTTGGGGCCTTGCAGTTTTAAATCTGCACACAGAACATTCAAAATATGCATGATAGTAGTTTTGATGTGAGTTTTATTAATGAAACCGCCCATATGAGTGTTAATTACACGTGTGGACATTTGGCAGAACGCTGACGCAATAGAATTCGCCGTCAAGAACATGAAAGCATGGAGCTATCCTGCCTTGTATCGACCGTTCAGGCTGTTGGTGGTGTTGTAATCATCTGTGGGCCCTTTGGTACCAACCAGCATCATGTGAACGCCACAGCCTACCTCGGTATTGTTGCCGACTGTGTCCATCCCTTTATGACCCCATTATACCCAATCTCTGATGGCTACTTCCAACAGAATAAGACTCCAGGTGATAAAGCCTCAATTCTCTCAGACTGGTTATTATGAATTCACTGTGTTCAAATAACCGGCATCCACCAGAAATTAATCCGATAGAGCACCTCTGGGATGTGGTAGAACGGGAGACTCACATCGTGGTTGTTCAGGAAAACAAATCTGCAGCATCTGCATGACGCTATCATGTCAACATGGACCAAACTCTCAGAGGAATGTTTCCAGTACTTTCCAAAAAAACAAAAGAAAAAAGCCAGTGGAATTTGTTTCCAAGTTTGAAGACGTTTTGCTTCCCATCCAGGAAGCTTTTTCAATCCAAAATGTCAGACTTAGCGTTGAGTTTGAGGCTTTATAGAGTGGACCAAAACAAAGCCTGGTTTTGGCTTAGAAAAACACGCAAATTGAACTGGAAGAACCGGTCCACCCCTTTGGAATGAGCAGCAATCTGGGTTCTTTGTTAGCCCACGATACCCGATACTGGTCTATGCCTCAGAAAGGGGGTCGTTAGGGGGAATTGTTGGCCTGGCTGAACAGGCGAGATGATTCGGTTCTCTGTATTGGGGTGGGGGGTTGCGATCAATGCAGGAAGGCTAAACTCTATCGCTGCTTTGTAGGTTTTTGAGAGGTGAAACCCCTCGGTTTAAGGTTAGTTTTTCTTTCAGTTTCCAGTACTTTTTTGAATCTATGTCACCAGGGTTTAAGACAGTTCTGAAAGAAAAAGAAAAAAAGTCCAACCAGGTACTAGCAAGATGTATCTAATAAAGTGGCCAGTGAGTATATGCAGTTTATATGCAAGAAAGAGTTGATTTTGGGGTGAGTTGTCCTTATAAGACCTGCAGCTGCAATAAATGTATAAATACTATTGCCATCCACAGTATAAGCAGAATAATGTATTTAGTATTTATTTTAATTCTGTTTTTGTAAACAAATCAACAGATTTCTCTCCAATGAAGCCCTTTTTAACTTCTAATTACAGCTTTGTTTTTTTGTACCTGCAGCTCCATGATTGCCATTATGTCCTGCCACTGCTGCTCCAGGTCCAGCTGTGGCTCTGCAGCAGGGAGCTGAGGAGCCAGAGGGAGGCCCTGGGATGTGGAGGGAACTTCTTCATTGGGGGCTGACACCTCTTGGTTACTGACTGGGACTGGGAACTAATAAAGGCACATGGACAGGTTAATACACATATATATATATATATACACTAATATTTTAGTGAAATTGACTTCAGATGTTATCTTACCTCAGCTTCTTCTCCAAAAGGGAACGTGGCCTCCAGCAGCCTCAAGCACTCCTGCAGTGACAGTGAAGTCTGTGAGCCAAGAACTGGCAGCTAACAACAATAAAACACAGAGAGGTGTGCTATATTAGTGCTGCTACTGCTTTGGGTTCTAAAAGAAAACGGGTAAAAAGCTAAATTAAAAAACGATCTGCATCATCTGATGGATACTGGGGGAGTATTAGGTCTGAAATATAGGCACTGAATACATATTTAATCTGGGTTCCTTCAAATGAGTGTCTTTGTATCTCCTCTGCAAAGCATACCTTCATCAAAACTTGAATAAAAAAAATCTAGGCTTACCCTACCTTATGGTTCGAATGGTTTAAATGCTAGAAGAGTTTCTCTTCACTTATAGAAAGGTTAAATTAGGCCGAACATGATCTGATAATGAAACCAGCTCCAATAATGACTTCTGTTAAGGTTGCAGTTTGCAGACTATCCAAGCAGAAAACCTGACTAACCGATATCAGCCTGCAATAGTCTATAAAGAGCAGAACGGCCAGTGATAATATTTCGCACAGAGGACACTACTTCTAAATTTAGTCTCCACGTAGCAAAACATATTCCTGACAAATAAATATGCGATAACCCTTCATAAATTTTCCATTAAACACTTTCATAAGGACCGGTTATTGCTTCCCCGTATTCAAATCTTGTTACACATCTTGTTGAAGACGGTTGAAAGCTCATTCTGCTGTATTTTTACTCCAGGTTATCACGCTGTGGGAATCTCCCACCAGCCAAGCCTACATCTGCCTAAATTTAGTTACGTTCAGGTCAAACAGTTGTTGAAGGGGGCTTTCGACCCAACAGGTGCTACTGCAGCAGCGTAGGCAGCGTCACAACCGACTAGCTGTATGGGGAAATAGTTAACTGAACTGAGTGTTCACCTTTGGGAGTTTTGGTCTAGTGGTACCTTGTATGATCCCCACAGCCAAGACCCTTAACCCCAAACTGCTCCATTGGTGCTGCACAGTGGCAGCCCACTGCTCCCTAAGGGGATGGGTTAAATCAGGGATGTCAAACTGGTTCCAGAAAGGGACGTGTGGCTGCAGGTTTTCTTTCCAACCAAGCAATAACACACCAGACTCACACAGATTCATCTCATCAAGTCATCATGTTAAGACGGGACTCATTTGATGAGATGAATGGAGTCTGGTGTGCTATTGCTTGGCTGGAAAGAAAACCTGCAGCAAAACACGACCATTTCTGGAACCAGCTTGACATCCCTGGGTTAAATGAAGAGAGTTAATTTCTCCATTGTGAGATCAGGGTTCCCGCGGGTCCTTAAAAAGTCTTAAAAGGCATTGAATTCTTCAAAATAAAACTAAGGCCTTAATTGGTATTAAAATGTCTTAAATCAGTCTTTCGTAGGTCTTAATTTTTAAAAAACATAAACAGGATTATTTTTATTACGATTTTTTTTTTGTAATTTAAATAAAACGTTTAAATTGCCAATTTTTTTTTTTTTTGTATTAAAAATAATGGCTCGCCATTATTGGTTCCGTCCCGATAGCGGAACCAATAAAAGCGTTGTCGCGGCCGGGACATTTGGGAGATGCGCAATTTACTTTTTGCCTGGAAAATATGAGCAAGTGTAAATGTAACCAAAATTGTCTCCAGCCAAGAGTTTTCTCCATGGCTAAAACCAGGGAACATACATGAGGCTCAGTGGATTTTGTGCAAGAAGTCATTCAAGTTCAGAACGATGGGAATTAAGGCAGTTCATGCAAAGCACGAAACACAAAGCGTCAAAATCGAGTTACCGAGAAACAGCTGGTATTTCTCAGTTTAGTTCCACCCTTGTCTCTGCAACGCCTCCACTTATCACCAAATCAAACATACTAAGAAAACCATACAAAGAAAAATAGCTGCAAAAAAGACTTAGCACTGGTTATGTTGTGGCTTTAAAACTGATTTGTTTTGTTCCCTGCTAAAACAAAGTTTGTGAATTAAGTTAAATAATTGTTAAAATATATCTATCATTTGTGTGTTTTTAGCTTTCTTTCTGTATGGGAGGCTTTTCAAAATTTGAAACATTAGTGCAGTGGTTTATGTTATAATAAACCTTTGGGTTAAGTTGTCACAAGCAGGTTTTTCTTGTGTTTCTTTTGAATTTGGTCTTAAATTTTTATTTCAAGTGGCATTAAAAAGTCTTAAAAAGTCTTAAATTTAACTCGCCTTATGCTGTAGGAACCCTGAAGATCAATAGAGTTCGATTTCTATCCTTTTCTATGAACTCTACCAGTTGGTTTGGAAATGAACGCCGATTGCTTATTAACAAGTTTAAAAACCTTTTAAAATAATCTCCCATGAAATGGTTATTTAAAAAAACAAATAAACTAAATGAAGCAACACGTTTCTTATTATATCACCTAGATGTACGTCGTTTTCTGCCGCTTTAACCAACCTGCTCAGGAATGCTCTCCCCAGTCTCTCCATCCACCAGCTGAGAACCCTGTAAGTTTATCCCATTCCTCCAGCTCTCCTGCTCCTCACTGACATCTTTGCTGTGCTGTGTATTGGGCTTCTCCTCCTCTGTGTCCTTCTGCCGATTGCTGTAGCTGAAGACTTCCCTTCCTGCACCGAGGTCGATGTCCTGTCTCCATAGGATGTCAATCAAGTCGATGTCCTAAAATTAAAAAGAAAAAACATGAGAAAACAGCTCCTACAGCGCTTTTCTGTTCTCACATCAAGGGATAGAACAGATCTTGGTTTGGTCCCTAGTTAATGATAAATGACCTACTTTCACATTTTTATAAAACCTGTTTTCCAGAGTTCAAGGGTTCTTTTAAAGGGAAGATCATGTAAAAAAAAAAACAAAAATCAGATGTTTCAACCATGATAAAAACACTTTAACACGGTGGTTATTCTTGTGATCTTGCAAAAAAATGTTCAACATCAATGTTTAACTCCATCACTTAGGCCCCTGTTTTTCCTTTGAGGGAGAAGAAAAACAAAAAGACACAGTTTGCGCATTAGAAACACTAAATGCTATAAAGTTTAAAGCTTAAATAAACTGGACTGAATGCTGTGGCTGTTTCTAAGTGGACTGGAACACATTCGCCTAAACTAGTAAAATTATTTTATCACTAAAGATCTATAGTTTATAAATCTGAAATTATAAATTCAAAAAGTTCTCCTATGACATTTTTGTTTCCTTTTCAATCTTATGGATCCAAATCTTCACATTCAATTCATCTCATAATATATCAAACCAATGCTGAGCGATTTGTGCCAAATCATCGTACATCTAAGTTTGATGATCATAGCTTTGAGTTCAAATATTACATTAGATTAATTCAGACTGTGGCGGTTGGTAAAGCAGAGCCTCCATGAAGAAAGGAAGGTTCAACCACATAAATGAAGAGTGTAGTGGAAGGAAAACATGAGGTAGGAAATGAACCAGAAACTGGGATTTGGGGAAATCAGAGTCAATCTATCAGGAAATTTCTACTGACAAGCATTATAGAGATGCAGATTTTATTTTCCAGCAGGATCTGGCGGAGGTCCATACTGGCAAAGGTACCAAAAGCTGGTTCAATGACCACTGTGATACAGTGCTGGACTGGCCAGCATTTTAAGGACAGAGATAAGCTGAAGGTTGCTGCTAAAGCCGCCTGTGCAGAACCACAGGCTGTTCTTCTCAATGCCATGCTGCTTAAACCAAATTAACTTTTCCTTGAGCTTATATATTTTATTAAGATTGATTATTGGGTTTTCATTGGCTTTAGTTTCAAACGGTTTCTGTTTTAAATAATCAAAATTTTTATCTAAATTACTCAGATATAGTTTGAAAAACAGCACCAATCTCATGTAAAAAAATCAACCCTTTAGGTCTAAAGCGGTCGTCGTACCTCTTTGGTGAGGTCGTCATTGCCGCCCCTGCTGCTCTGCTCCTGGTTTCCCTCTGGGGCCACCGCTCCCAGGCTGCTGTCCGCTGCGTTCAGGTCGTAAGTGGATTCAGGCGCTCCGCCTCCTCCCCTCATGGCCGGGGTAGCTTCAATGTTGTTAATGTCCTCTAGGCTGGCCCCATTGTCCAGGGTTATGCCGGGGTTGGACTGACTGCCTGCAGACACCACCGTCTCTGAGTCGCGATGCACTAGCCAGGTGTTGAGCTCGGTACTGGGCACGGAGAGGCGATCCAGCTGGCGCACTTCGTTCAGCAGCCGCCTGGTGGTGAAGAACTGGTCGAGGTCCACGCTCTTTGGATGGATCCCATAGCCGTCCAGCGTGTTGCGCAGGTTGTGGAACTGGGTCTGGGTGTAGGCTGAGCTGGGCCCCAGGATTATCTCTCTCAACGGGGGCAACTGATTGCTTAGATATGTGTCAACGTCCACCCGCACCCCGATGAGACTCAGAAGGATGGTGAACTGAATCAGGCCCTCTGTGAAGTACTTTTTCAGGTAAAGCATTTCTTTACAAAGGAACAAAAAAATGAAAGTAAAAAAGTAAAACAAAAACGGGGGCGACTACTCGTAATCAATGACTCTCTGCTACTAAAACTAAAGGATGGAAACAGATACGAGAACATAAAAGTGGTTGAAGAGGGAAAAGAGCCTTGAAAGCTAATTTATGCGGGTTCAAGATCCAAAGTAAGGGGTCCACTTCTCTGTGAAGGTTCTTCAAAGAGTTATCTCCCCATTCCTGCCAAAAATAACAACTTACATTGAATAGGATTTCTTTAAATTTCATTACATTCAAATTAAAACATTATAAGGCTACACAATTTAATACATAATATTCAACATTCAGAGAGAAGATTAAATGTTTGATCAGTGTGTATGTGTCACAGAAGCTCTCCGCCCTAAAAAATGAAGCCCACCATTGCATTTCTAAATCGATAAATAAATACAGTTTGTGGAAGAAGTAATAAAGGAACAAACAAAATTATAAACTAGAATGCATGCATGCATGACTTTTTTAGATAATAACCTCTAAACGCAGTAAGAACCTATCAGCCTGTCTGCAGTCTTAAGCCACCTGACTGCTGATAACTCAACAGACTGTCCTTTCTCTTCTAAATAGGTTGTTTTAGCATTAAAGGTTTAACATTGAAGAATTTCTGATTAATTAAAGTAATCATATAGATAATACCATCTATTATTTATTTTGGTTTTATTACTGCTTATTTTGTGGATAGCATTAAACCTTTAACCTCTTGAATTAGCAGTCCAACAGAAAATATTTAACATTTACATAATTAACCAGTGAGATTAGGTGTATTATGGACTAATGGCTCACAGTTTGATCCACATATAATAAAAAGCCTGGTAGTTTCATTGCACCACAACATAACACCAGACTTTATTAACTATTCTTGACTAACAAAAATAAAAAGTGTAATTAAATGATCAACATCATGATAAATATATTTAAATATGAATTTAATTTACTGCCATTATGGGAAACATATTTTAGGGAGTAATACTGACTTTTACATTAAAATAATTTTGATTTCTGTTAGCAACATAGCAAGGATTAGCATTAGGTTATAGTTTAGTATCTACATGCCAATAATCTTCTGATATATGTGAGCCCAGCCTTAGATAGCTGGTGAAGTCCTGCTTTCTTTTATAACACTACATATTTTTACATTTTGTTTCAGGATCTGAAAATAACTATTTTATTTGAAAACAATGCAAACTGAGAACATTTTCATATCAAGGCCTCGGTTTCTGTCCTTTGTTCTTCAGTTACAAATGCCACATTGGGCTGACAAAAAAACAAAGAACTTAAACAAGTAGAACATTTGTTAAAGATTGTTTCATGGCAATTTTTATACTTGGGATAATCTGTGATTTTGGGTCACAGCCTTTCATAGGTTTCAGTGCAAATTGGGGCCAATAAATTAGAACAGGATAGAAAAATCCTTCATTTTTCTCTTATATGAGGGAAACGATTGTTTATCAGCAGGAAGTGATAAAAAAAACAATTTAAAAAACTTTATCGAGAAACAAATGTATTAATGCTCCTTATTACTCCCAGATAAACTTAAAAACAGGAGTATTTGTCTTGAAGCAACAAACATGATTTTAGTATAATTTAAAAGTTATCTAAATAGCCCTTCAGCTGAAAACAAACGTTTAACATACATTTTTTATACAAATAATATTCAATAGTAAAAGAAAATAGCCCAGAATTCTCTTATCTTTAAACAACTAAATTAAGAAGAAATCAAAGCCTTTCTTTACAACATAAAATCAAGGAAGCACCAAATAAAAAACTAATTTAAGAGATGTGATGGAAAATCAGGGCATATAAAGACAGTAAGGCCTACATTTATAGATCTCTATGTTGAGGTTTTTTCCATTTTCTAATGATCTAAGTCCTTGTTGCATCAGTTCACACACTTCAACCACACTGCTTTTAAAAACTAAGACATCTTACCTATTCACATTTGCTTTAAATAGGTTATGGAAGGAGAAAGAAAGCGCAGGACGTGCTAACCACTTCATCCTAACAGAGCAGGACTGATGTCGGATCGCACCACGCTGTCTCTTTTCATTTTAAGACATTCGGCAGAGCAGATAAGATGAACACAGAGCTCCAGGCATCACCCCACCCTTGACAGGGAAACTACTCCTGCTGGCTACTGCTGAAGGTGAATGAGGGAGAGCAGAAAGCTGGCTCGACTGGCTCTGACACCCACCAACAGTAAGGCTGGGTGGCCGCCGGGGTCCCTCCCTCCCTCCTCCAACACAGCTGCGCCTATCTTTGTCCTTCCAATCGGTGGCTACTCACCGATTCACCACCAAGCTACCGCTAACACACGCCTATAAACCTCTTCTGACGCAACATAAAGTTGCTGCTATGAAACGTTTAGCAATTCAAGCGTCTTTACTGAAATCTCTCTTTCGGTAAAAAAGTGACAGGTGCCTCTGCTACTATTTACTTTCTCCCTGGCTGGTGTCAAACAATCTCCCTAGCAACAAGTGGAGAAAATATGATTGACAAGTCAGCTCAGCCATTCAGCAAGCCCAAGTACTGTGATATGACATGACGCCAGCGAGTTCCGACCAATAGGAACACTCCTTAGGCGGGGTTTTGAGAACGACGCGGCAGGGATACAGGAAGTAAAAAAAAAAAAAAAAAACTATAGTTAGCCATATAAGCTAGTTTTCAGCTATGTATTCTAAATATTTTAAAATTAATTTATATCAACCAACCCAAGACCAGCCTCTGATACCCAAACACTAATATAATAATGTGTCATTTTTTTAATGTCCTGTCGTTAAACAATAAAGCCTATATATCGGTCAGCGCAATAATTCATTAAAAGCTTTAAATGGTATACTTACGCATGAAGATTTTGTTACCGTGTCTTCATGCCCACATGTCGGCTAACACCAGACCGGTGATTTTATCCGGCTGACATTAAAAGTTCCACTGAGTTGCTACCCTCACTAAATGGCCCACCATGACTTGCAAAATCCCTTGCTACCCCGGCTAGCCTAGCCCAAAACATGCGTACACAAGGAGCATGCGTAGAACATTCTAGTGATAAGCTTTCATCAGCTGACGGAAAATCCCCTCGAGAGTGTGATATAGTTCATTTAGAAACCAACTTAAAGAAAAGCCTTCCTGCAATAATAACCCCATTAGAAATTTTTTAATGTATTTTAGATCTGGATAATATATTATAAATACGATATATATACTAGGTAAAAACCATGAAAAATACAAACTGGTTACTTTATTTGAAAATGTATACATTTAAAAATATTCATGTAATTTAACTCAATAAGTTAATCTTGTGTTATAGATTTAGTATACAGAAAAAAAAAATTTAAACGGTTATTCTGTCTTATAATGTAAAAGTAACAGCTTACTGTTAATGCAAAACCTACAGTATAATTCAGCCATTGTCCAATCTTGCAGGGCCAGGGACTGTGTTAATGCAGTCATTTTGTGAGAGGCTGAGTATGCCCTAAACAGGGCTACAAGCCATTACAGGGGAAACATAGAAACCTGCATCCATGCAAAATCACTAGCATTCTTAAGGGCAATTGAAAGACACAATGGTAGTATAGCATGCATACTTTGGTACTGGGGTAGAATCCTGGGGTAGCAGTATGCATTAGGGCAGGGGTGCTCAAAAGCTACTCTCCTGCAACTTAAATTAAGCTTCCTGTCCCTCACTTTTTTATGCACCCCATTTTTAACACACCTGAATCAAATCAGTGGCTCGTTACCAAGCCTCTGCTGGGCTAAATGAGGGGATTGAGTCTTTCGATTCAGGTGTTTTAAAGAAGAGCTGAATCTAAAAGTTACAGTGTGGTAGCTCTTGAGGACTGGACTTGAGCACCCCTGCATTAGGGTGAAAATGAAAACTCCATGCAGGGAAACTCAAAGCTAGGATTCAAGCCACACACATTCTTGCTGGAACATACCAGCGTTAATAACTTTGGCATCAAGCAACATAATTTGAAATTCAGCTAAAAATATACATCATATACTTAGACCAACCAAACTTATTTTCATTTTGTATACACAGTGTATACAAAACAAAATGTTGTATTGTACAGCTCTCATGACATGTCCATTTCTTAAAGTGCAGCAGTGATTTAATGTAAACATTGTGGGAAAAAAAAAAACATGGTGCAAAAAAACGCATGGATATGGTCAGTTTGATGCAGAGCCTGTGACTGTGATTTATATTTTTTCAACATTCATTCAGCTGTCTGATGGCAGTGGGAAAGAAGCTGTTTCAGAATCTGCTGAACCTGCATTGAATGCTGCGAAGCCTCTTCCCGAAACAGGCCCTGCGTGGGGGTGTGAGGGGTCACATCCCCACCATGGACTGTTCTATATGATATAATATCATAAAAACCTTTTTTTTCCCCATAAAACAAAAATGTTAAGCTACACAATCAGGAAAGATGCCTCAACATTTTTCTAACAGACCATCTCTGACATCCTCCACAAAACGGGAAAGCCACAAAAGGCAATTAAAGAAGCTAGCAGTTTAGGCTTTTGTGTGCAAGCATATTAATGAAAGGTTATGTGGAGGGAAAATAGCGAAGAAAAAACACTAGATATATCACTCCATGTGGAAATAATAAACACGTTAAAATTTTTTAAAATCAATTATTTAAATATAATACCTTCAGTATAACAAATATATTTCTTAAAATTATATCTCACCATCTCATTGACTAAAACGTTGCAAAGGCTGCCCCTTACACCACTGATGATTTACATTTGATGCTGGCACCTACTTTATAGTAAGCATGGTAGCTCTTTGCAGATTCAATCATTTACATATCCATCGAGGAACAAAACTTTTCTTAAAACTTAAAAAGAAATTAGTCATGTGGTCATTCATTTAAGGGAGTCATAACCTGATAATCTGACTTCTTTAATGTTTAAACAAATGTTAATGTTAGACTTCAATTAAAACCTACCAGACAATCTGTTGTATGACAGTTTTTTTTTTTTTTCATGTGGGGTAGTTGTGCAAACCAGAAAAGCTCACAAGAGATCCTCCTCTTTTACTGACATCAAAACTGGAAGGATGTTAACATTAGCCTTCTTTGCTATCTCCACTCCCATCTATATTCTACCAAAAGGGGTGATTGCAACAACCAGGGATTTACCTGTAGGCAGTTAGTAAGTGTTGCTGCTTGTGTAACTTTTTATCTATTGTGTGTAAGACTTGAAAATAAAGCACGGTAAACTCCTAATGTTGCTAAGCTACATCCATATGGCTGTGCATACAAAAGTCTATGTCTAGTGCGAACCCTAGAAATAAAAAATTGTATAAAAAGGGGTCTGAATGAGCTCCATTTAATTTTTTTCCTCCAAAAACAATTAAACATGAATTTAATGTTAATTTCAAAATTATTGTATGAGGATTTTTTTTTACAAAATATAAAACCCAAAGAAGTTTAAATTAAATATCTTTTTATTTTTGCAGATTATGACTTCATACATCAACACAGTCTACTAGATATTCACCCCCATCAGGTTGACTGGTCTATTGTGGTATCTCTTTGAAATGTCGGCTTCAATCTGCAGAGACAAATATTCAACAGTTAGGTTACAGAGAAGCTTGAGGATATAATTTGTTTTGCAGTTTACTGAGTATCACATTCATATTCTTGAACAAATATCTGATTTTCTGTGGCCTCCCCACTGGGAAAGCACCAAAAGAACCCCTGTGAACATAAATAAAAGTGAAAGTAATCCAATACCAGTTTCTGGAGTTCGCGGGTGCATCCTGCCAGCAGGTCAACACGAGGCTCCAGTCTAGACTGTTCCTGAAGGGCTTCTTGCCTTTTCTCAGCCATTGTAGCAGCTTTCAGCACCAGAATATCTGCTTGCTTTAGCTTCTGCCTCAGCATTTCTGACACACGCTCAACATACCTGAAAATACAGACAAAAAAACACAAGAAAAAAATGTATCAAACAATGAATTAACCGTTTTTAAGCTGTATAAGTGAAGCTGTTAAAACATCCATCTAAAATCACTTTATCTGAATTAAAAGACAGATTTCAATCAAAGAGGGTTGAACATATCAGTGTCTTCATGTGTTTGCAGAGGAAACCACTAAAAGAAAACACAAAGAAATCACTGCTTCACATAAATGTCTTCAAGGGCAGAAAACAACTGCTATCAACACTCCACCTGGAAGAAGAAGCAGATAAGATTCAGCTGCAGTGTAAGAAACCTGCATAACAATCAGGACTGACTCATCTTTAAGTGTTGCTCATCCGGAACTCGCTTGATATAGACAGGAGCTGGACCGACTCCTTCAATGCATCAAAACATAAACCTTACACTGTTTTTAGTCTATAAACACATCAACCCACCAAATGTATTTTGATTCTCATCTTTTTATGTTAAAGAAACTCCTTCTTTTCCGAACACACGGCTTTACGATCAACCAGAAGGAGTTCCGCACATATATATTGCGATATAATATATCTGACTTTTTAAACAAAGTTTTTTTAAATGCCACAATAATCACATTTAATTAATTTTAATGCCAATTAAGGCCTTAATTTAAAAAATAATAATTTAATGACTTTTTATTATTTTTAATGACCCGCGGAAACCCTGCAAATTTTGTGTTGTATTCAAAACAACATAGTTTAAATAAACTGCAGCACATTTTTTTATGTTTTATTGCCCTAATTTCATATTCTACATACAAATGTTAAGCTGGAACTTAATTACATACCTTTTCTGGATGCAGAGCTTCTGTTAATGTGATAAAACCATGTGATATGTTCATAGATCAGTAACCATGTAGAAGGGAATGTGGACTAGGGCTGAAACAATCAATCGGATTAATAGCAATTAATCGATTATTGAAATACTTGTCAACTAATTTAGTAATCGATTAATTGTTAACTGTAGTATCGAGACCCTAAAAGATGCCTTTAGCTGACAGAGCAACAATAAATATACAAAAAGTGTAAAAAAAAAAAAAAAACAATAAAAAAAAAAAGTTTTTACCTTTAAGATATAAAAACTTTTCCGTCTGTCAATATGCTCTATCCAGAACTCCTCAAGTGGAACGTTTTCAGTTTCACCTGGTTTAATTTTGTAAAGTCTTCTTTAAAGAACCTTTGGCTATCCAATAATTAATCAATTAATCAAACAAAATAATCGACAGA